CACGCACGCACACGCACACACCGCATGCAGATGACTTGTGAGAGCTTGAATTGGCGCAGAGATTGAAAGAAGAAGAAACGCGACACACACCAGAGCTCTTCCAGCGGTTTCAGATCCTCATACTAATGACAAGAAGAGCCGTTCCGGGCGCTGGCACCTGTGCCTTGCTCAGTGGCTCAGTTGTGCCAGTGTCTATTATGTAGGACACGACTTCCTAATATGGATATCCCCCCCCAACCCATTACCCCTCCCTTACGTCCACCTCCACCCTGTGTGTCTGTCTCCGTGTTGAATAAAACAATCTTTCAACAAAAAAAGAAAAAAGAAGAGGAGAAGCTGTTCTTCAGGCTCCTGGGTGTTTTGTGCACTGAGCTGTCTTTCCCTTTCTAAATTCTACGTGTACTTTTATGGTTGCCACAAATGTGTGTGTGTGTGTTTGATGCTGCGGTGATAGAGTGTGTTGTCCGAAAAAGAAAAGAAAAAAAAATCACTCAAGGAAGAGATGAGTGTGTATGGTGAGCTGGTGGAAAGTTTGCTTAACCCCGGGGATGTGTGCGGAGGACAGGAGTCCCACCGTGCTCACTTTATTCCTACATGTTTTCATTTGAATAACTGACTTTTAGGCAGCCTGACATTAGGTATGATGCCTCGGATAGATCAAGTATCAATAAACTGCCGCAAGTTCTACATTGTCAATGAAAAGTAGAACTGGTACATTACTCTTTACGCACTTCTGCCTCTGTTACCTTGACAGGAGCACCGACAGGAGGTCACACAAGATTCTTTTTTTTTTTTTTCTTTTATCAACCACCACACCAATTCCCTGCATGTAACCTATTTATAAATCAAGATCAGACAGTCGCCTACCACCTACAGCCCGTTTAAAGCACATGAGGTGGTCCAGTACACTGTGTATGCGTACAGAAGAGAGAAAATCGGAGTTGTGCGTACCTGCTTTATCCAAAAGAATAATCCAGGGTGACTTCAAGAAGCATAGACAATCCTAAAGGTGAAAGCATGCTCTTTGCAGTGTATGCTGAAGTGCATGATTGAGTAGGTCGAGTCCATTCTGTCCCGCAGGGGTGGGCATGGATTGCTCTCCGCGATTATTTGCATATCGCCGATAAGTTTCGTTTTGGAATTAAAGATATCAAGTTAAGTTTGTGTTTTTAACCACTGCTAAATCCCCTGTAAAATGTTCATCTTGGCGCCTCCGTGTGTGTGTTTTGTGTGTTTCCTCACACCCCTTCCCCGCGGGAGAATGGTTCCTCCCGCATTAAATGGAACTATCTGCTATTGTCTCATCAGCGAAAAGTTGTTGATGCTGCTAAGGGCTCAAAAAGTGCGAAAAGAGTGCGAGAACGTCAATCTTCCTGACTTATTGAGACTAATGTTGATGTCATGGCGGAGCGAAGGGACACAGTGATAGATGGCGATGTAATTTGAGTGTCTGCCAATCCAGTGTCATTATATGAGATGGCCGGAGAGTCATCCTGCTTGATCCACCCTGTTGCAACACCCAGTCAGCTGTTTGTAGGAAAATAAATATTGTATGTGGGAATGTAGTGAAAACTCATCTTATTGTAATAAGCACAGTTACAAGAAAATATGAGTGAATAAAAGTCTGAATAACTTGATTCACTGGTTAAGGCTGGGAAAACCCTCGTGGAAAAGTCCTGAAAGAAATGAAACTGCATTTATACAATGTACATTTGTCAGACTTTTATGGGCAGTTTCCCCTATTTTTTAAAGATTCCCTCCAGACAACAATAATGTGTGTCTGGTATGTTTTTTTCTTTCGCAAGAGACTATATATAATTTCCACAATATTATATATTTTTTAAAGGCATCCACTTGTAACTCCTTAAAAATTCCAGAATCTAGGAATATGCTAATTGTGTTCATTTTTTCAGTTTTCCTGCTGGACACAAGACGTCTCCTACTTGATGGTAAAGTCCATTTTCAGTGTATGTGGCGCTTCAAGTTTCTGCATTACACTTGAGTAAGTTCCAAATTATTTGTGATGTCACAAATCACGCTCGTAAGCCCCGCCTCTTTCAATTCAGATTTTCAGTGAGCACAGAGAAACTTTCAGCAGATGAATGTGAAAACATCCTTCTAGTGTCAAACTCTGCACAGACAGCATTCAAACAGCACACTGTGAGAGCAAGGAAGAAAACTCTTATTTAAGTGAAGGGGACTTTAAAGATGTAAATAATATTAAAATAAATATCTTCTCAAAGGAATACTAAATTATTTTTTTTCCTTTCGTTTCTTTTCATGTGTTGGAATGCATGCCTATAAACTAATTACTTTGTTTCAGTCAAGCAGGTTCTATATCCTGTTCCACATACACACACTCTTGACGATGAACAAACCAAAAGAACGCAACATTCTAAGCTTTGTAGTAAAGTTATATGTAATTGACTTTTGAGGCAGAGATGAGCTCAAAAGTCAATTACATAATAACTTTAACTACAAAGCTGTCACAACACACACGTCGCTGCTAGTTGTAGCTCTAACATTACTTCACTTTTGAAAAATAAGCCTAGAAAGACTGAATTAGTTGATTAATTAGACTGTCACCCAAGCCAGGTCAATGCTAAAGAAAAAAAGGTTACATGAACTTCCTTGCGGAACTGGAAAATCTTGAAAAGCATGAAAAATAAATGCAATAACTGCATGAGTGTGTGTGGTTATTCAACCTCAATGAATCTGGTTACACATTAGATATAATTGTCTTTTCTGATTCCTGTGATAAGTTCCCAAAACGTTACACATTTCCCCCAGCATTAAGACCAGGAGGCTTCACAGATTGCTGTTAAAATGTACTCCAGCTTATTGTACGTCAAAGTCATGTGTAATAACTGTCACTCCATGGTGTTGTTGTGGGTGTTGTGCAGAGGTCAGGCTTGTTTACTCAGCATGCGTGCAGTGAGAGGGAGCCATGTTGCTGACTGCTGATGTACCAGTGAGTTAAGAAGCACAGACATCTTATCAGCGACGAGCCCTTGAGTTGTAACGGCAGGCACAGTGCTTTCTATATGCAGCCCCCGGAGCTCCATGGGGGCCCCTGTGCCTTTTTCACAATACACTGAAAATACCACACACACACACACACACACACCACAACACACACACACAAATTAACAGATTTTTATCACAAGATGCACCCTTGCTTCCTCAAACATAAGGTCTGCTAATACACAAACACACCCATACAGTATGTGTGCATACATGCATGTATTGAGATGGGCATGCAAGACTGTTAAGTCATTATGTCCCTGATGAAATATGATCTACTCAGCTGTACACATACACACACACATGAAAACACACTCATAGCCCCTCCAGCACGCACACACCAACACACACGCACTGAAATGCAGTGGTGCATTCTTGAAATGTGATCTACTTGCACACATAACACGCATAGACACCGACACCAGTACACATGCATGCATATGGACTTCCTTACACACATAGACACACACAAACACACACATACACACAAACACACACACACTAACATATATGTTTAACATGCACCTACATTCACATCATTCCACACTATGAAAAATGTGATACTCCCACGCGTGCACACTCTCATCGTCACTACTGACGTTCATTATTACAAGCATGGAAAAATAAATCTACACACACCCATGAATATAATACCAAGCACACGCACACATTAGTGATACATAGTTATAACACAATGAACAGAGCCTCCCTGCTCTCTCTCTCCCTGTAGTGTGTGAGTCACTGTTCAGATACTTCCTGTTATAAGAGAGCAGTCTTTAAAACAGCCTCCCTCTCTCTCCATTCCTGCTTTCCAAGTCAGTGGGAATGTCAGGCCAAACACACACCAAGGTGTCCTCTCCCTCCCTCTCCCTCTCTCTCTTTTCTCTGTGAACCAGTCGGCAGAGAAGCTTCCCTGTCAAACGCCCTTCAGTCGTCGGGTCACCCACTCACGTACCTCCGTGAACCTTCACCTTTAAAAACGGAGGGTTTGAAAAATCCTCTACAACCCACTGTAACAGCAGAACATGCAAGACAACAATGCAAGCATGCATTTGCACACCATTGGATGCAGAGCTGCTTGTGCATGCGTGGCAGACACAAACGTACACCTCAGGGCAGCTCTTATAATAGCTACCCGTGGTATCCAACACAGTGATGTGCACTGTTCTATGCAGCATCGATTTACATTACTGCATATAATGTGTGTGTGTGTGTGTGTGTGTTTGTGTTACCTGTCTATAGCTTAATAAAAGAATACCATTAAATAAGTTATAGGACAATGTTGCTGTTTAACTTTGAGTGGCAGTGCTATCAGTAGCACATGTGAACCACTACCATACGGCAGTTCATTATCCATATTGATTCCTGAGATAAATATTTCCTTTTTTTCCCACTCTGACTTCACTTTTGCTCGTGTTGTGACCCACTTCTCTCAAACGGTCGGGTAAAGTGTACCCTCTCTTGTCTCTTGAAATGGCACTAGTGATCGCTACTAGGATACGCAGCTACCACAAGCCTTCTCCAGTGACTGACACCTTCAGCCCCCTTGTGCTCAATTAGCTCGTAGTGCATTAGCGACCGCATGCTAATTGTCAG